TACACCCTTAATGTGTTTGAGCGTACCATGTGTCTTTAAGATAGTGGGTGAGATCGCTTGGAGCGGGCGGTTGTCACCAATGTCACCGGTGGAAGGGCTATGTGGGGCGTGGCTGAATGCCCTCTCGCGGCCCTTCTACCAATGTCGATAGTAACAACGTCCCGCAAGTCCTGTCCAACTTCTCTTTTCGCGCTCAGTTTACGTCAGGACCTATAATCATTTCACCGATTGCATAGTACAAATGTCACAGAGTGATGGGCGTTATTTAATTACTTTGTGGAGTGCCACGAGTATGACCCCCACAGGGTCGTGTAGACAATTTAGCGCACGTCCAAGGGCATACAGTATCCGAACATACCGCAACTTAAAGTCCTCTTTGGTTTACACATGCCCTTCTTTGAAAGCTTCTGCTCGGAGTATTGAAGAGGCTTCGCCGCTGTTTGACTTGGAAGGGACCTTTGCACTTTCGCTAGTTCCTTTTTAGTCCATGTTAACTGTTCACTGATGAGGAGGCCTGTACACTCCGGTAATACCGCGAAATGGTTCGGGTAAGCCACTTTGGTCGCAGGAACTTCTCGGTCTTGACAATTTGGCCCGCACGACCTTAGCTGAGTACCATCTGGTGCCCCCACCAAGCCGAACTGCGCCCAAGTTCCCGCTAGAAATTCGTTTTCTCAACGATATCTTCACAACCTCTTCGAATATTCTACAGTCTTCAGTACCGTACTCGCTCACGGGTGTCCTGCTGTTAATCAATTACTGGTTGATTTGGGGAGATCAGTCCCCAACGACTGCACTCTGTATCGCTTCGAATGGAGCTGCTCATCACATCACTTATGGCGTCATGCTCGGCATACGACTCCTCGCCAATATTGGCAGCGCTGCAGTCTACTTGGCTATTGTCATCTACCTGAGTAGGGTAAGGTAAAGATAGTAAAGTTTTCAGTTTAAAGACCTCATAAAGGACATTCCAGAGCCATGGTCGATCGCTTCAAAGCCTTTCCGCTTATCAAAAGAAAAGTCATAGGAATGCGAAAATAACCCTTGGTGGGTAGCACTCTTGATCTTACTCCTTCTAAGGGACTGGAAATAGTTCAGTCATTTACAAAGTAGTTGCAGGTATGGTCACAACTAACTCCATGCTGCTACTTTTCATCCCTGATCTCCTCCTACTGGTGAATCCATTCAACATCAATCAGAAGTATTCTACCATTCTATATTCTATGACACTCAGCAAGGTCGGCTCACGCTATACTTCTTCTTTCTTTTATAATAATTAGGAACCTTTACTTTTTTTGCTGAAAAGCAAGGTACCTCTGCTGCAGTTGAGGTGAAGGAGAGTCGGTCAGAAGGTTCGCGTTGCGATGCGATGAAACAATGCGCGAGCAGGGCCCTGATAACTCATATTCTGTCAAATGCAAAGCATTTTTTATGGGACCGCTTTCTCATGGCTTACAGTCAAAGAAGACGGTGGGTATGGGGGTTGCTGAAGGAAGCGAAGCCTTTTCTGAGCCCGATAAGAAAGCAGAGAAGACGCCGAGCGCTTATGCGGGACTGTGTGGTACTGCAAAGTAGTTTGGATGTGCCCACGGCTTCCAGTTTAGATTGAAAAGTGACGGAGTGCTTTGACTTACGTTAGAGCGCGTTCACAGGTTTATATCGCGGATCACGCGAGCTGTCCGATCGCTCGCGCTTGAGAAGTATGAACGATTCTTACAGCGACTTGGCGAACGCGGCGCCTCGTCTGTCCGCGGCATTTGCACCAAGACCGAATTGGTTTCACATGTGACTGCTACAGTATTTCAACCACTTTGACCTAACTATATAGGATGTAGAGAAGTCCTCAGCGAAGGGGTTGTATTGGCTGCCTGAAAAGGGACTGGTAAAGGGTCCGGTCTTTCTCAACGTGATGCTTGACCTTGGTAGAACACGTAGTCAGTTTTGCCTGTGTGGTTTTGAGGTCCCTCCAAGGAAGGTTGTTACCCATCGAGCGGGTGGTATTTGTCTTTATGAGCAATGTTTATCGACGGTTGTTGACGTTCTCCGGTTTTTCTCGTTTAAAGTGCGCTAGGTACATATCATCACCCACCCCCTCCCCCACCGCTCGATGGCGGTTTTTGGGAAAATGAGTGGAATTTCCGAGAAAAAAAAACTCCGAGAAGAGGTGGGATGGGACATTTTGGGAAAATGGTAGGTGGTATGGAGATGGTAGGGTGGGTTGTATCAGAGGAGGATATATAAAGGAGTAGGTCGTATTCTAACTGCAAAATCTTCAATTCAACCTCAACCGCTGGACGTGCCTTAAGTCTCTTACCCACCAGCGAAGAATGACGGCCCTGAGCACGTTCAGTCTCCGAGGAGAGTTAGTGAGTCGCACCTCGTTACCTCTGCTTTTCTTGTGAATTTTCCAGAAGGCTTCTTGATTGCTGGAAAATATAGCCTCTGAAAAAAGCTCTGAGAAAACTTGGTTGCTTTATGGCGCGCTTATCCCTAGACAAATAGGCCATTAAAGGCAGCTGGCACGATATTTTGTTAAATGGCCTAAAATGCTAGCAGAGCGCCATATAGTGGGAAAGTGATTCGCTTCATAATTTGCTTAGCAAATGAATCAACACAAGCGTCAGGAACGGTCGTCCATTTGTGGGCGGGCGGGCGCGGGCGTTCGGGTCGGTATGTTGTAGCTCGATAGGGCCCTTCTAAGTGTGCCTCCCTCAGAAAAGGCGCTACGCAGCACCTGCTTAGGGTCGCGGAATCCTGTCCTGCCAGGCGGTATCAGTCCTACTCTTCTTAGAGATTTATCGTGCCAACTGCCTTTAAGCCGCCTAGGGAGCGTTCATGCCGCGCGAAAGCTGCCGCGATCGTGGAGATTCAGTCGCGAAGTGTTACCTTGGCCAACTTTGAAAGCGCAATCCGTCAAACGGGGGAAATGTCAAATATCGAGTCAGCTTTGACACGAAGCCTCAATCACTGGTTTTTCAGACTACCATCAACTTCCTGATCTACGTCACTCGTTACCGGGAGATACGTGGGATTCTATTCCGAAGCCTTTTCGGAAGAATTCCTATATTGAAATACCGCTTCAGTGATTTGAGTAATGCCAAACAGCAGACGCGGGCAGGACAGTCACAAATGGGAGCGGACACGATGAACCCGAGAACAGGGCAACGGACGTCCATCAACGGATCGGTACTTTGATTTGCTCTAACAACTGATTCCAAGCGGATGCTCTACCATTATTTCTTGCAGAATTCCGAATCAGTTCGAGCAGAACTGGGTAAAAGCAACAACCGCCTGCCTCCTCTTCGAAATGTTCCAGCAAACAAAGTCGCCTGCCAGAATAATTTCTGAAAATGTTTTGCCACTGCTGAAGTGATCTCCATTGTCGTTCATTATCACATATTCACTGGTTTATGAATAATAAATTATAGAACATTAAAATTCCATGTTCTCTATATGATGCTATTGCAGCCCACTGGGTGGCGCAGTTGAGTGCTTCCCTCCCTCCCAGGAATAGGGTCAACAGAGCACAGACGACCAGAGCCAGCGATTGGCATCATTTTGGGTAGAACACTTTGAGGCTGCAATTCTTTGCGCAGCGTCTACAAAAGCCCAGCAGCGTCTATCGGCGTCTAGAAGCGTCCATAAGCAAAGGAGTGAAAAGTACGGGAAAGTAGGAGGGTAACAGACTGCTGGTAGAGTATGGGGAAGTAGGAGAGAGAAGACAGCTGGATTAGGCGTCGTGAAATTGGGGCGTGTGCAACCGCATCGTACTTGTACATTGAACTCTGTTTGGGGGGGGGCATTGAGCACTTTCGCTGCTTCCCAGTGTCGTGCCAATTGCTTTACAAGTGTTGACAAGTATACTTTGAGAGAGAGCTGACAAGTAATCCCTACGGATTTAGTTTGTTATCATCTCTACTTGATGGCTCGACACGATAATGGGAAACCGTGAAGGTGAAAAAAGGCCCCCTCCCCGACGCCTAATTGCACCGCATTTTGTTTTGGTTGCACGTTTGCAACTCGATGCTCAAATGCTGCCCCACCGCGAACGTGGGGCATCCTTTAATCTCTGTGTACTCTCCGGGAAACTCTTGAAGCTTAGAACTACAAGCTTGCTCGAGGCTCACGTAAGCCAGTCCATTCATAAATCTGTTGACTTCCTCGCACAACTAGCTGCAGTCTCATGAGGTGAGTGCAGTTTTTTTGTTGAAGAAATCATTCCAGTAGTGTTACTTTAATGGTTTTAATGGTTCAACTTCTAAAGGAGAATGTAGAGCAAGAGTAGCAAACCGTGGAAATTCTCGTCTTTTTTATCATCCTCTGTGAATGCTGTACTTTTTGAAACTTTGGTAATCTTCATGTTGCCGCTCTTTTAATGATCCAATTTATTAATATATTTATTAGACCTCGATTGGATGCATCCAATAGCCAGGTTTTTGCGTATCCTCGTCTCAGGGCACTTGTCAACCGGGAAGCCTCTCCTCTCTTTCATTTTTTCTTCCTCCTTCCTTCTTTTCCTTCCTTCCTTCTCTGATCCCTCCTCCTTTACCTTCTCCCTCCAACTACTGGACTGGTAGATGCCTCGTGAAATAGCCCAGGATCCACGCAGTGAGAGCGCGTCTGGTTGACAACTACAGCGTTTTTCTTTCCCACTGGACGTATGTTTTCAATAGGGTTCCGTAATGAGCGGCAATGTGGGAACGGAAATTTCTCATGTATGTTGACGAGAAAGTGAGAAACAGGAAGTAAGGAATTCTGTTTGGAGTTCTGTTTTCCTCACGAATTACTTGCATACACTTTTTAGTTTTCTTCCCTTGGGGGGAGGCGAGGTAATAGTTTTCTTTTCTTGGGGAGGGAGACGGGCAAGTGAATCGTAATTTGCCGCTCCGCCGCGTGCGGCAGTGGGCGCGGCTTTTTTTTAACTCGTGTTAACCTTCGAATGGAGCACCGGACTTCATAAAGACTCCGTTATCGCGAGCACTTTAAAGACTATTTTCCATTCATATTTGTTGACATTGACATATTATTTGACATTCATGACTATTTTCCTTTCTAAATTGCCTGTTGTCGCCATCTACTACCTGGAACCATCGTCATTTGCAGGGCGACGTCGCACGCGTACACCAGCGCGGCGAATTACGATTCTCTTGTCACATACCCGGGCTGGACTCACTGAAAAATAGACGCCGCACCGCTCCCTTTTACATTATCAGCTCGCGAAAGGGTCTGGCTAGGTAGCCTTAGATATGAGTAGCCGTTTTGTTAGGCATAGTCGCACCACTTCTTGTTGGGGGGGGGGGAGGGTGTGCGACAGGACAAACGTAATATGCAACACTAATGGGCGCGGCGAGCGACGTCGCGTGCGACAGACGAGTTGTCCTGCCTGGCCGCTTGATTATGAGTGTTGACGGGATAGGTGCTCCAATCGACGAACTGTTTCACAGCGAGGATTCGCCGCGCGCGGTGGCGCGGCAAAATTGCGATTGTCTTGCCCGCCTCTCTTGCTCTGTAGACTCTGATACGGGTAACCGTTTTGTTTGGCATGGTACTCATTGTACAGCACTCGTTGTCAGTCTTCAAGTTCACCTTCGTTATCAAACACGATTAGAAACGATTCAGGAAAGAGAGCAATCCGTTGGACCCTGTTAGATCTCCTACTTGTAATAAGTCCCAACTTATTTCAGTCCATATTATACGCTCTACTTCTTTTTGTAGAAGCAGTAATGGAGCAGTAGCAGATATTTTTGCCACACGTGAATTCGAAAAACACAAATGCGCATTTGAATTGCCAAGCACTTCCGCTGTTTTCAAAGTTTTCCGATATTTTCCTGCTTGGCCAGTTTTGTCGCTAATGTAAACGACATTATCGATGTTCTTGCCACGACTGTAAGGAAGAATCCTGGGAAACTCTCTTTATCGCAGGATATTTCTGTTAAAGCAGGGATCTCGTTACATGTGTTGGCACGTGCTTCTTATTCCGCTGAAATTCCCCAGATCTAAGCCATGTAGGTAGTCCCCAGGTAGTTTACTGCCAAGCGGAGCGCTAGGGCGGTTACAACGTGTATTAACACGTTCGAGGCGGCGGCGTTTCGCCAAAAACTCCCCTTTGTCGACCGGCGCGTTCGCGGCGGGCGACAATTAGGCAATCGTCCCGTTTATGGTTCGGCGCCCTCGCGAAGAATATATCTTCGCCAAAATTCACGCGAGCCGATTTTTGCATATCTTTATACATTTTTCTCTTCTACAGTTTTATCCAATTTTCGATGAATGAACTAGGTTTCCTGCCCTTTTTGAAAGTTGGTTGGAACAGGACAAAGAAGATGTAGGTTTGATGACAGAAAAATTTCGCAAAAAATTGTTGTTCCTGTTGCAAAACCACTAGTTTTCGCGCGTTTTTTGGCAGCACACGCCTAGTCTAATGTGTGGATCTTATTTCTTTATAATTTGTTTTATTATATGTTTGTAAGTGTAGTGAAAACAAGGTAGTAGCAAAAAACACGCGAAGAGGCGCGCTTACTCCCGGAAATACACGATTCGCACGAAAAGAAAATTTTTTGAGTGTTTTTTAAGTGTGCACGCCTCTCCGAGAGTGTGTATATTCTTTCTCTATTGTTTTCTTGATATTTGTATCAGTTCTCAGTGAAAAATGAAAAGAAAATACCAAAAACGAGCGAATAGGCGCGTGTACTCCCGGGAGTACACGATTCGCCGAAAGCGGAGTTTTTTCGTGTACTCCCGGGAGTACACGCCGCCGCGAACGTGTTAAACAAGAATCACATCACGTTCATACTTCGCGACGCCTGATCTCTGATACGAACGGCTGCCAACAGTCGCACTCCACAGCCATTCAGAGGACTTCTGTAACGGTCTAACGGACTAAGAATTCCTCATGAACTGAATTTGCGCATGTCGAGAACGGGTATTTCTGATTGCCTGCAATGTTCTTTTCGCTAAGGTTTAGTCTTAGCAGAGAAAAAGGATCACTGTTTCGGAAGAAGGGAGCAGATGAGCCAAAAATACCGCGCATCCGCGCACCCTAGTCTTTACTTCCCTCGCACTTCATGCAGATGTGATAATTGTGTTCAGAGAGTCAAACTGGCTCTGGGAACTAGTATTCAGCCGAATTTTACTTTAATAGGGATGTTGGAAGCTGGAACTGAAAAATAATGTTCCTGGTGTCTGGTTGTTTGGGTATCTGTCAACTCGTCTCAGGGCACTTGTCAACCGGGAAGCCTCTCCTCTCTTTCATTTTTTCTTCCTCCTTCCTTCTTTTCCTTCCTTCCTTCTCTGATCCCTCCTCCTTTACCTTCTCCCTTCAACTACTGGACTGGTAGATGCCTCGTGAAAATACCCCTGGACCCTCGCAGCGAGAGCACGTCTGGTTGACAACAGCCCCGTAACCCTGAGTATTTGGAGGAAGGAGAATGAGGAGAGAGAAGAGAGAAAGAAGAGAGAACGACGAAGAGAGAGGTTTTGCGCTCGACATATAGTGAGGGGAAAGGGAAGGGGGAAAAGGCGAGAGACTTCTTCATAAAACACATCGTTGCAATCGAAAAAAAAACTGAGAATTATTTTTTTCACTGATTCTTATAAGCAAGTAAGTTTTATTCAGTTGAAGTCATAGTATAAAAACTGAGCACTATTCTGCTATTACTACCCCAAATTTAAAAAAAAATGGTAAAACTTTGCTTATAAGGATAATTCGATGTGCTGATCACGAATATGACATTTTGACGCTGGAGCCATTGGGCGCCAATTGGGCGCTACCACTTTTCTCACAAAAATCAGTATACTTGCATACGGGGTCATTCGGTACCCTGATCACGAACATGACATTTATTTTTAGCCCTGGCGCCATTAGGAGCTGATTTGGCGCTCCTTTTTTTCATCAACACCGATAAAAACATGCATGATAGGGTTTTGCAATGCCTTGATCACGAGCATGGCATTCACTTTTGGCACCAGCGCCTTTGAGAGCTCTTCTAGGGCTGAGAATGGAAAGGAAGTGGTCCCCTTTGGGCCGGTTACCAGAGCGCAGATGGTCATGGTGTCCTCCATTGGCGCCATCGCTAAGAATAAATGTCATATTTGCAATCGAATGTCAAATGACCCTGCATACAACTTTCTGTGGATTTGGTGATTTAGGGTATTTTGGCGCCAACGCCTGTGGCGCGTGCGCCAGGCATTGTTGGGGTAAGCGAATGTAATATTCGTGTTCGGCAGGTCAAACTACCCCGGAGGACAATTTTTTCAGCGGATTTGGTATCTAGGATGTCTTGGTACCGGCGATTGCGGCGCGGGCGTCAGGCAGTTTCAGGCTAAGCGGATGTGATATTCGTGTTCAGGAGGTCGAATTACCCCTAGAACCCAACTTTCAGCCAAATCTGCCCCCGTAGAAAAAAGTCGATCAAGATCCGGCCTGTTTTCGGAAAATTGGGGTAGTAATAGTTGAATAGTGCCGAAATTTCTTTATGATTTGTTTGATAATTTCTCAGTTAGAAGTGTCCAGAGTTCAACGTAGCATAAGAATTGATATTATGCGAACTAATTGCATGAAAAATGACAGCAATTAGGAGGAATTTTCAGAAAAACGCCGTTGCAAGGTCAGCATTCGGTCACACGGGCTGTGGTGATCCTACGCGTTGAGACGCACCATGTGGCGCGCTTAAAACACAATGTGTGATGTCTTTGCTGGAAGTACGGGGCGTTTCATAAACTAGTCCTCGTGTATCACGCGCAAATCAACCCCCTTCGATTGCACTTGTTCTATTTCGTGGCTCGGTACGACCCACGACTGTTCCACTTTACTTGTCGACAAGGGTTGGAGTCCCCTATCCCCCTTAGTAAGATGGTCAACAATCGTCGTCATTCACATCATTCGCATACAAGTCATTCAAAGAAGGGTGTGTAGAGTTATGATATCATTTTTCAAACTTAGTATACTACTGTAATCGTATCTTACTTTTCAGAGCAGCTAAGAATGATGGCAAATCCTTACACATGTGAAGTCCAACTGGACGAACTCAGTCCGGATCATGCCATTATCGATTTCGCCTTTATTTCGGAGGAAAATTTCGTCCTTGTTGTTCTTCTTGCATCAAGCGGTAAGTTTTCTTTGGTTTTGATGAAAACTACTCGTTCAGTGTATATTTTCGCCATTCTTTCCATTCGTGGATCTGTCTTGCCTTTAATTTTGGTCTTTTCTTGGATTCTATTTCCCATCTTTTCCTGCCCTAGTTTTTTTTTCTCTCCCATTTCTGCTATGTTTCTAAAGAAAGCTTATTTGTGGCAAGTGTGAAACAGGTGACCGATTTTTTTCCCATGGTGTGGGTGTTCCTTGAACCCGAACTTATTCCTCTCAGCAGCGAGCCACGTTTCTATTCCCGTACTTCTAGTTCTTTGACCGTCATGCGATTTCTGGAGACATATTGTTTACAAGTGGAACCCCTGGGAACCACGGCACATGATCCGAAGTACGCCCTCTCAATATCCGCCGGTCAAGGGGCTATGTAGCGGAAACGGAAACTACAAAAATCAATCATGAATTGAACTTATACATCAGACCAAATACGGCTCCACCCTTTCGGGAAGCTAAATGGGCTTTCTTTGTCAAGAATTGGGGTGAAGAAGTGGTGTAGGGGCGAGTGACGCGCTAACCACGCGCACGGTTCGGGTACCAAGTCTCGGACGAGCACTCGACCCCCCCCCCCACAGGAAGGCAAATTGCAATCAGGTTCCTCGGGGAGGATAAAAGTACATGTACATCGGCTGGCTCCCGCAAATAATTGTATAGTCCACATCGCATTCAATAAGCCACCACGATCCTGAATAGAAGTAGAATAGATCGGAAGAGCGGTT